AGGAAGGTAGCATATTCTTCTCAATTACTTTAAGATCTTGAGTGTTGGTCCGGCCGGGGCTTGAACCCTCGACCTCCCGCACAACTGTCCAGCGCTCCATCCATTGAGCTAACCGGGTTAGCTCAATGGGTAGAGCTACGTAACCCGGTCAGATACTCAATGGATAGAACTAACCCAGTCAGATACTTAACAAATCGACTGAGTGGTTTAGCGTGGTTAGTACTCTTATCGACAACGATATTCTTCATTGCAGTGGCCAAAATGTTGTGGACTTACGAAGCGCAACAGAAATGAAACAGTACGGTCGTAATACTTAACCCTTTAACTCTAACGACTAGTAAATCGGTTACGACAATTTTATGTCAGAACATGATAACAACTTCCACCTGATAAGTTTGAATATTCTTCATATCCGCTCGCTGGATACTACACTGTATGAATATTATGGGATAAGCTACAAGTTCATCACTTCTGGGAGTTAAAAGGATTCAGATTTTTTCCCTTTAATGACGTGATACTGTTTTCGTTGACTTTACCTCAAGCAGCGACTGATATCCTCGTCTTTCGTCCAGTTGGCGCTGAAAACACGAGTGTTTTTGTCACCTTCCGCGCTGTATTTCAGCAGAGCTGTCGATAAACAAACGAGTTTGTTATTGAAATAACAATTTTTACCAAGGTAGAAAAAAAGGTAGCAAAAGTGACACCACGCGATCAAACGTACCTTTGTATGTCTCATAACATCGATCCTTGAAAATCGTCAGCATTTTGGAAACCATTTCAACAAACTGAGGCGAGTAGTTTGGTAAGCTGTGCATAAGATTCTTCAGATCCTGTATCAGTTGTTCTACTGTAGCGGTGCTCTAGTCAGACAGGGAAAAAATACTTGAGTCAATTAAAAGTGAAACTGAAGAGGTTTTCAATCATTTTTTTTTTAATGCGTGACTACCGTACGTAGAAAAGATGGCTTTGAATAAGAAAGAGGCCACAAAAATCTAATGAATAAATCATTGAAAGACGACTATAGGAAACACATAATAACCAATCGCAGACCTACGAGAACAGACTTTGATTGAAAACCCTGGAGCTAAAATATCGCCCGGTTTTACTGGGAGACGCAGTAATTGAGTTCCGGGTGAGTGCGTTGAACTTCGGCCGAATCGAGCGGTCTGGGTTCGAGCCCTTGCCAGCTCACTCTGCTGTATGGGCAAACCACATCATCCTCATAGTTAAAGAAATTTGACGAATTCTTTACTGAGGGAGTGGGACTGGGGAAGAGGCAGCTGCGATAGAATAGCATCAGTTCTTCCATTGCTTATTGCTTCACGAGATTAAAACCTGAGACAAGCTCCAGTTTAATACACCCCTAGGCTCCTATGATTAAGCGAAACAAACAAAAACCTACCTGTAGAAGGGGTCTGGTTGCTCCCAAAAGCTTCAAAATGTTTGCATCAGTGGTTCTTCTAAATGTATCCGTGTCTATCGACAAAGAAACCAAACTAAAAATTCCAATAAACAGCTACAGTGAGTTAGCGATTTTTGTAATCGCATTCAGTCAGGAGGCTATTTTGGAAAAGGTGTAAAGTATGTCTTAATTCAAATAAACTAGGATAAAGGAAGGCGGAGTAACAAAGGCGTCCACTTCCCACCTATTGTGGGAGGCGAACTATTGTGTTATTGGAATGGCTAAGTTACCAACCCGGCGTCAGGCCCGAGAATCGAACCCAGGCCACAGCAGTTGAAAGCGACTGCTCTCATCTCTGCGGCATCACATATCTCCAAACTCTTCACTACCCTCTGTTTTGCATTCAGGGCCCAGTTGGTCAAAGAGCGGATAACTCTAACTAACGGATAAATCGCTATAAGCGTTAACAAAACGTACTGCGCTATACAACGGATAGAGATTTATGCAACGGATAGCGTTCTCCACTGTTCGAAAAACCGGAGCCAGTAGAGTAAGTCTTACCTAGGGTTACCTCCTTCAACTTCTCAGTAATATGAAACAGGATTTCCTCAATGAAAATATCCTTCACATAGTCGGTGATAAAACCATACAGAGTGCACCTCATCCTAAAAGGAAATGTTGTCAAGTTTTAGCGGAAGCTAAGGAAGTTTTGAAATAGCAGAGCCATAGCCTCTAGTTGGTAAAATCCATTCCACACGAGAGAGGAATATCTGCTTCGACAAAGCGTCCCGGAAAAATTCAGAGTTACAAATGAACAACACTGGACCAAAGCTTCTTCAAGTTGTCTCAGAAACTCTTACTGCTCTTCAGTTATTTTCAATCACATCCCATTTACGGTTTTCCGCGTGTTCCTCGAGTTCGTTTGCATTTTTAAGCCATAACTACGATGGTTTGGTTGAAAGTTGCAATGTTTAAGCAATCACTCTCACTGGATGACCATAAATTTATCCACGAAACAATAGACAATCTGATGAGGTAGCAAGTAAAGACAGGAAACAGAAAATAGATTAACTATACATATAGCACACTTACTCTCCGTGTATCTTTATAGCTGATTCTATTTCACCGACAAAGGACATCAGAGGGCAGAACACAACTAACAAAAAGACAAGGAGCGCCAGAGTCAGCGAGGTAAACAAACACAGTGAACCGTTTCAAGAAAAAGATCGACAGCGTCGATTAAAAAATTCGGATCCATGTCGGTGTCTGAGCAACTGTGCACCCATCCCTTCCCTAACCAAACAAAATTCAAGAAATAACAAATAAGGGTTCATGTTGAATTAGGGGAGGGATGGGTGCAGCAGTTGCTCTGGTATTAATCCGAAAATTAATCAACACCACACCCAATATGTTCTCACGGTTCGGACCCAAATGGATCTGTTTTTGTCATCACTTCACCTGTTATATTCCTTGGATTTGGTTTACATAACAGCTGTGGCTTGGTATTGTGTAGCGGCTCACCATAAGTGTCATCGTCATCTTCATTCTGAAAAGTTTTAACGTAAGAGAAGTGGCCTATGTTTGTATTGGGCATAGACCGACCCTAGAACTGGATACGATAAAATCGGTTACGCGCGAAATCTGGGGATGAGAGAAAGAGAGTATCCTAGCTCTCAGTCTTCGCGTTGCACCACACAGCATACACTTTTACTAAAAAAGGGTGACTTGTCATGGTAGGTTCGAAGATAAATTAGTTTAGCCACGTTGTAAACGAACTTAGGAGGCTTAGACATCGAAAGTTGCTGCCACCAATCGCACGGTAAAATGAAGCCTTGTAGCAAGAGGATTAAACATTCACTTATTTGTACGTCTGCTAGCTTTGAGTATTATTAACTTTATGTTGGGTCAATCTTTCTCCTTGCTGACAAAAAAAAAGTAATTCAACAGGTTACCCGACAGATTCGAAAAGTATAGCGTTCTCCTTTTCCATACTGTTTTCCTTTTACAAATTTCTATGATTTCTATTTCTACGTTTCATTTTTTTTTTTTTTTTGCACATCTATCGTGAAAGCAATTGCTTCTCATCTTTTCCTTTGGAATTTTGCGCGGCAAAAATTGATCCCCATGCGAATGCCCAACGTTTGACCGCTGTGTTCTACTTACCGCAGTCCCAGCCATGCATTCTTGGCGTCTCTCCCTGATGTAGGTATTCATACTGATCGCTGACGAAGAACCTTCAAAACGATACATTGGCGTCTAAAAAGCAAAGACATTCCAAGAACTTATTCAACACTGAAGTATCAAACACATAAACTGATTGCTTTAAGGCCAAAAAC